TTTTATTTCTTTTGAAATTCTTCTCTTTTTGAAGTGGATTTATTTCACATGTTGAAAAACATCACCATCGGCCAACGATTAGTTTTACGTTTGCATGTGTATCCCCGTAACATTTGGTCGAAAGTGTCGACGCCTCCCCTCGTGCTCATTATAGTCATGAACCACCAATGGCTTTCCGCTGATTGGATCAATATCTTCGCTTGCGTGTGCAGTTGATAATAGTAGCACATTTTTCTCGGTTTTGGTTTTGTAATTAACCAGTTCACACGGGCCTGAAAAGCAGAACGATGCTGTGTTTCGACCTCTTTCTTTTGCCATTTTCAGCGACGTGAAATTCCATGGCAGTTCACGCTTGTTTGATCGAATTGTGCCAACCATGGTAGTATTGTGCTGGTATAAATCCTGTGCCAATGGTATAGATGAGAAAAAATTATCCACCGTAATATTCACTCCCATGTCCAAATGACGTTCGGCAAGGCGCATCACTAGCGCATGAGCAATTCCAGTTGATCGCTTTTCGTTTGGCTGGGTACCGAGGTAAACTTCGACTACAACTGGGTAGTTCAATTTCGAGTCAACGAGCCAAAATATTTTAATTCCATATTTTCCTGGCTTTGATGGAATATATTGGCGAAAACTACATCGGTTTCGTGAAACGAGTAATTGTTCATCCGTACAAAGTTCCTTCGATGGAATGAACGGCAATGTCAAATTCGTGAGAAATTTATCCCATATGAAACGAATCGGTGCTAGTTTATCTAAACGTAGCCGATCCAATCGTGACCGTGTATTGTCAAAACGTAAAAAACGCAACAATTGTTCACACCGTTCCAGTGACATGACAGCTCGGTAGAATGGCATATGCGATTCATGAAAAAGATCTTTGATTTGCACCGAATTTGCTTTCTCAGCACCACAATGTAGCAGAATACCAATCAATGCGTATACTTCATCGGAATTTGTGTCTTTCCATTCACGATCTCGCCCCGATTCATTCACTTGACGATATGCTGCGAATGCAGTTTTTGCTTTTCGGTTTGTGTCAATGACGATGTTTTCAACCATCTCGAGCGAAAAAATTCGCATAAATGCATCCTTCTTTCCAGCAAATATTTCACTGCAACCTGCCTTTGACTCCAATCGACTCTTCTTCATTGATTCTGTTCGTGCCTTTTGTTCTCCGTTTGGCATCGATCACCAGACCGTTTCATCTCCCTTGCCTTGACCAACATATTTTCGGCCATGATTTTGGTTCAATCGGCATTTCTTCCATATTCACATCATCTTCTACATCTGGCACGATGGTTTCTTCATAATTCATATCCAAATCTGCACCAGTTGCTTCAATAGACGTTCGTAATTCAACAAATGCGGCATCTTCGAGTGTCTGATCATCGATGGTAAAATCGTCACATTCAGACGCTTCACTTGGTTCATAGTCTGGGTCTGCATCGGAATCATCAAAATAATCTCCATTGTCTTCTTCATCCATATACGCGGCCAGCTCTCGCTTTTCTTCTTCACTCAAATCACGAAAAAAATCAACATTACAAGTATAACGAGACATATTTTTCGAAGAAAGTTTTCTACAAAAAATGATCAAAAACTGAATGAAAAATAAAATCCAAATCGCACAAATACGTTCAATTTATGAATCTAAAGCCAACTGAATGCAAAGTCTCAAAAGAGACCGGCTGTGTAACGGAGATGTCAAATTTGTAAAATGTGTTTTTATGTATGTGTATGTCACAACGATACACAATAAAATCCGCTACACAAAAAGCAACCGACTAAGCGTGCTCTTTATAACTACTAGCTCATTTGATCGGAGTCGACACACATACGTATGTGTATTAGACCGGCCCAAAATTTATCGAGGTCGTGATTTTTGTGGTGCTCAGCGCTTAAATGAAATAGGGCCGTAAAAAAATAAGAATGCTCTTTTCAGAAACCCATTCTGTTCCATAAATAGGCTCCCGCATCGCATATGTTTGAGCACCCTGCTCCCTCAAAAATTCACAAAATGATCCATAGAGCAAAACTGATAGCCAAACTTCGATCCCAATGTATGGTGACATATGTTCGCACGACCCTAGCGAAGACATTGGCAGTATCCGATTTCATCTATCTGCTCTATTTTCCAAAATAGGCCCAATATTTTCTCTGAAAATCGGTCTATTTCAAAATTTGGGGTTGACCACGGATTTTGAAATTACCACCATTTTAAGGTCAGCTTGGCCCAAGATGACGAGAAATGTAAGATAAATAACATTCCCGGCGAGAAATAGTCGAAAAAATTCAATTTCCCTGATGAAAGTACTGGAAAAATGAAAAAATATGAAATTTTCCCATTTTGCACATTTTGCATGAAAAATCACATTTTTTCCATCATTTGGAGGATTTTAACAACTCATTTTCATCTAGGTTTTGATGAAGAATCGATTTTGCGTATCGCACTACCCTCCCAGATTGTCCAAAAAGCGCGTTTTCCTCACCGATGTATTAAAATTGTCACATTTTTAACAAAAAATAGCATTTTCATCCACAAAATTGCCGCTTTTTAGTCTTTTCTTTCATTAAACTTCCATTCTTTGGTCGAAAAAATACCAATTTATAAACATAAAACACCGATTCGACCATCATTTCAGTTTCAAAGTGGGATTTTAGCACCAAAATATACAAACTTGAAGAGAGGTGGTTTTTCTTGTTTCTAGATTTTATTCATTGAAGCAAAAATACATAAAGTATACAAAAATGAGGCGTTATTTCTACTGCCATGAAAAAACCAGACGTAAAACATTTTTGTAAAAGTACACATGAAAGTACATACCGGGTGATTCATAACGACGTACAAATCTCTCTACCACAGATTCCTTGGCTCATGAGGAGTAAAAAAGTGTATGGGCACATTTCCCTCAGGGGCCGTTTTGGTAGGGTTACAGCCTTCGGTACATTTTGGGTAAGTTGACCCTGCGCATCGAAGGTGCCCATTTAAACGGCTATTGCGTGAGTAGTTTTCAACATAGAAACGTGGTTATTGGCTTGTTTGAAAGATATTGAGACCGGCTAGAATATCCAATACAGAAACTATGAAAAAAGTTCAGTGGAGACGGTCAATTTCGTCATTTACATGCCTAAAGCGAAATCGATAAATTTCGAGGAAAATCATAATTTTTCTTCAAAAAAATGCGTAATTAACATATGTTTTTTTATTTCATAGATCGGAAGATCGTCGAATTTTGAACCGGCATGCAAATTTTCAGAACCGACGATTTCGTTTTTCAATCAAAATTTAGATTACTTTTAAATGGAGGTGCCGAGTTTTCCTTCCACTTATCTTTCATGATATAATCTTTGAGCAGCTAGGCTCACACCATCAGCCAATCCATAAAAGTAATGAATATCAGCCATTTCTTCGTTGGTATATTCCATTTTGGTTTAATTTTTAAAATGATATGATGAAATAATTTCGTAGGCATGCGAAAAAAACACTTGTTCGCAATGTTGGGCAGTCATAATGATTTTTGTATCTAGATCAGATAAGATTTATTTCATCTTGAATAAAATGTATCTAGATAAGATACTGTCATCTTATCTAAAAAATTGAGAAGATAAGATATTATCTTAAAAGAATCTAGATATTTTTTAAGATGTTTTATCATATATTTTTAATCAATTACAATTTCAGACTAAAATAATAAATAGTAGTCTTCTTCACAAACCATGAACTATCGAAATCAGAATCTAGTTGATGAAAATGAACAAGACCCACAGCAAGAAAGAGAGAGAGAGCGAAAGAGAAAAAAACACACATAAAAATGTACGCTGTACAACCAAATCAGGCATCTTTTTTTCCTCTCTTCACTCCGATAATCAAATTTTCCATTTTATTTATCAAGCCGAATCATTGTTCGAAATTCCATAGTCATCATACCGGGAATTTCATGCTAAAAATTGTTTGAGTATTTATTTTCATTCTGATGGTTTTAAAAATACAATTCAATTTATCATTTTCGAATTCGTGAAACAATTTATGTCCAGTATACGAGCTAATCTAACGTTTGAAGTATAACAGCAACAGCAACAGCATCAAACACAAAAATTGTATTGCAAATCAAGACGAAATGAAATGATGTCTGTTTTGTTAATGTAATAAGACTTGCCTTACGATTTAAACAAAATGCACTTGATGTGCTTTAAGAAAACACACACAACAAATTAAATTATTCTATATGTTACAAATGTGAAAGCGATAATAAAGGAAGAAAATGTCGGAGAAATAAAATCAAGCCGGAAATCAGCAATAGAAAAAGAATGCCATCGTTGCCATCGAATGATTCCATTGATGTCCAACACCAGCGTGCATTGATGTCCAACGCCAACTGTAAAAATGAAAGTTGTTCCGATGAAAATAAAAATATATGCAATAAATAAGGTTCACAATAATTTTACCATGTCAAATAACTGGCTCCCAATTGAGTTCCAATCAGCTTCAAATCGTAATGCGCAAGAATCAAATTCATCTCTCCCGAAACAGGTATTCGAGTCGAGTCAGCTGTAAAAATGAAATTAATTGTAAAAACTATTCAAAAACGTCATGCAAACACTCATACCTTTCGTTCAATTCAGCAGTTTTAAATTTTGTTGAACGAACAACACTTTTTCAAAATTGGCGTCACTAATTCTGTTTCGTCTTGGGGTGAATACTTGCAAAGCTCTCGAAAATATGCGTTCTATGGCACCACTCGCCGATAGTGTTGTGTTAAATCTTCGGAACATATCTTCAAGGATCGGGTTATCACGAACTTGACTCAAGTTGGGGTCATCAGTCGATAACAGCAATTATTTCCATACATCAAAGGTGAGTGTATCATCGTTTGAATGTCTACGCTCTTGCCGAAGTCGGCTGAAGAATTGGTTTTCATTTGAGTGTTGAATACGATTTTCTTCTGTCTGAACGGCTGGTGTAATTGGAATTTCTTTTCGGCCAACCGAAAATTCAATGTATGTATTGATCAATAAAGTTTGGGCGTATTCTCTGTCTCTTTCATCTTCAATCCATGAAAGTTTAAAGTTTGGATGGATAGCTGATGCTAATATTAGTTCTTTGTTGTCTTCGTTAAATTTCATTAATACCCCAAATCGCTTGTGTAAACTGTTTAGAACCACTTGATTCATAACAGCGCCGAATTCCGACACAAAAACGTTCTCTTCGACATTATCACCAAGATTTACTTTGATTCCGTACAAAGTTGGAAGCACATAGCCTTGACTCGCTCGAGCGTCCCCCTGTAGAATATCCAATGCAGTAGCTACTGGCCGCAGTGCTGTTGAGTAATCTTTCAATACTTTCCACTCAGTACTTGAAATTTGCTCCAGAGATTTGTGTTTTTTGCCGCCACCATTTTTCCTCGCTTCCTTGATTATTTCGTCGATCGCTTCCTTTATTTTGAGTCGATGTTCCTCGGCTAATGTTATTGAGTCGAATTTGGAATTCCATCGGGTAGCATTTGGATAAGGGAAGCTTCTACAACACACTTTTTCAACGATTTCATGAGCCACCGGAGATCTGCTATTCACCTCCCAAAATCGCTTAAGCTTCGCATATGATTGCGATAGGACTGAAAAACCTCTGGTTGATAACGATTTTAAACATTTTTCGAAGTCGGTCGTCCCTAACAAATTTAGAGCGTGTGCAACGCAGCGCATTTGCTTCGGTAGAACTGAAAATTCATCAACGTCATCATCACAGACGTCATCGTATTCATTGGTGCTACGCAGATCCAAAGTCTCATGCTGTGTTCCTGGTGGAAAGTATACTTCTGTTTCGTTGTTTGATCCTGACTCTCCTGTTTCTAAATTCTCTACTTCGACTTCTTCTGCTTCGTCTAGTATATCTTCTTCTTGCTTTTCTTCTATTTCATTTTCTGGTTCATCTGGTTGCCGTACTCTCCGCAAAGCCTATGCTGACAATGTATTTATTTTGGACGAATATTTGAATCATCTTCAAGACGATGTATTACCGCCTCTAGCGACCGTCTTCATAATTACATCTAAATGAATACGTTCAGTTATCTGTCAGAACGTGTCAGAAAGTATCGTCACACCGCGGAACACATCGCACTTAATATTCAATTTTTTTCTGTTGATTCACTCATTCGCACTCGTTCGTCGTCATTAATCGTTTGTCCGCTTTTGTCTCCGTTTGTCTCATCGTGTCGGTCACATCGTGTATCTTTGTTCGTCTCAATTCGTCTTTTTTATTCATTTTATATTGTTCATTTCGATCCAGTCCGATCCAGTTTGACACATTCTTAAAAAAAAATTCAAAAATGAAAGGAATATATGAAAGGAGAAGTGAGTATTGATTTTCGTTGCTTTTATCCGCTTTTATCGGTTTTTATCGGCTTTTATTTTTATTCGATTTATGTCAATTACATTTGTGTTCGTTTGTGTTTTTCAGTTACACGTTCAATTTCGTCCGTGTTCGAATTAAATGGTTTCTCAGACCCAATGCTCAGGGCTACACAAGCGGCAAATTCAATTTTTGTCGTTGAGGTGTGCCCTGAGCTGGAAGTTCAATTGAGTTTGATTCAACCACGGAAAATGCCAAAGCGTCGCCGTTCAACCTCATCAGCCGGTCTTCGTCAAATTAAACGACGTCGATATTCATGCGCTGCAGGTAATTGGTTCACGTTTTCAATATCGTTCAATATTCCGCAATATTCTAAGCGATTCCGGCGGATTCCGGCGATTCTATCCTATTCGATCCTATTCTTTCGGATTGTATCGGATTGTATGCACCGGTATGCACCGGTATGCGCCGTTGTGCACAAAATATCGCAAAAAAATAAATAATATATCGATATATACGGATATATATATAAAACATCCATCTTTTGCTCGCTTTTACACAGGTTTTCCTGCTCTGATTGAATCTGTTGAACCAGAGGCTGCTCTTGAACTGCAGGTCGAGCAAACCGAAAGCCAGCATAACCAAATGTCGGATGGACCAGATAATGCGATAAATCATGCAGAATTATTCAGACAAGGCAGGTATTTTCCGGTATTTTCACACTACCGACCGTCGACGCCGGTCGACGCCGATCGCTCGCGATCGCTACTTTGAAATCGTTTGAAATGGTTATCTATATTCGTCTATATTAAACAAATGTTTAATTCGGTCTAATTTTTAGGCGAGAATGAATTTTGCGATGATGATGGTGATGACGTTATCGCTGGACTAACTTATTCAGGTTCAGACACAGATGAAGCAGAAGCTGATATGAGTGGAGTTACCGGAGTCACACCTGTTTTGGCAAACATGCATGTTGACAATAAAGAAAATGAACAAAAGCAACAGCAAATTACCACAAAAAGGTGGTACGACGGGGTAGTCGTAAAACCTGTTGCTTTTCGTTCAACATCAAAACAAAGTTTTTATCAAAACTAAAATTTCCGAAAATTTCTGAAAAAAATTATTATTAAAACGCGTTAAAACCTGTTAAAACGACATGTAAATGCATGAAAATGTCATCATAAGCGATCATAAGTACATATCGGTACACATACACGCCGACGCACGCCGATACCCGCATATACATTCGTATACATTACCGTACATTACGGTACATTACGACAGATTGCTACGCACGGCGGCGCATTTCAATTTTTAAGATACCGTAAGATACATTATAAACGATTACAAATTAAACGAAAATAAATCGAATTAAATAAACCTAAGCGAACCTAAGAAATAATGGAATTTCTATCGATTTCTATAAACCGCAATAAACTATAATCGACTATAATAAATATTTAAGTAGAATTTTATTCAACTTAAGTATGCAATAAATTACATATTTACACCGATTTACACGTATTTACGCGTATTTACATAGTAGCGAAAAGAAGTACTTAAACATTAAATACGATTAAATATGGCATCCGATGGCATCGTATCGCCGTATGACGTCCTATGGCACGGTATGGCATTCGATGGCATTAAATACATTCGATGTCGTTCGACGTTCACTCGCGTTCACCGGCGTTCACTGAGATGAAAAAAAACGAAAAAAAAACGACAAAAAACGTGTATTCCCGTGTATTCCGATCGTGCTGTATATACTCAGTTTTTCGCAGTTTTTAGTTTGGTTTTTATTGAGTCGCATAGAGTTTCACGGCATTTCACGGAGTTTCATTCGGTTTCATTTGCGATAATTTGCCGTCATTTGAATTCAATTGCATTCGATTGCATTGAGTCGCATAGAGTTGCCGCCATTCCGTTTCATTCGGTTTCATTCTCGTTCGTTCTCGTTCATTCTATAATAGTACATCAAAATCCGAAATAGTTTTTTTTCTTCAAAATACCCTATCATAAATCGTCAGAATTCATCTTGATTTTTGTAAAATAAAAAAAACACAAAACAATGTCTGATGAACATGAAGTTGAGGCTATAATTGGTCATCGTGTTTTCAGAGGAAAGGTATTGCCGGGCGTTGCCCTGATATAATTCGAAATAATTCCCAGTTTAAATTGATTTCAACATAAATTAAATACTTTTAAAAAACTATTTGCGACTATTTGTTTCGATTTGTTTCTGTACATAATTAATACATTACCGTCCATTTGTGTCTATTCCCATCGATTCCCATACTATAGGAGCAATATCTCGTGAAATGGCGTGGATACGACGTACAAGAATCGACATGGGAGCCGATACAATATTTGTTCAACGTAATGGATTTAGTGGCAGAGTACGTGAAAAACAAAGAGGAAAAAACGAAAGGTAATAAAAATCGATAAAAATGATCAAGATAATAAGCAATCATTGATTCATTCGGATTCATTCGATTGAAACCGATTGAAACAACAGTGCCGATAGCGGCCGATAGAAACGGATAGAAATAGTATTGGTCGGTATAGTTTGCGATCGTTTGCGATTTTTTGGTCTTGTTCGGTGTTGCTGTCCATAAAAAATCAGTGAATTACGGTGAATTGTTCGGAATTATTTTATAATACTCGATAATACTCGATAATACTAGCCAGTATTGATATATTTTCATCGATTTTCATGATGTTCCATTCGGTTCCATTATTTATATTTTTCTGCAGAACTCGATTACATTATTGGATGTGGACAACGCAACGGGCAAAAATTCTTCTTAGTTCGTTTCAAAGGAGAGCACAAAAATGAAATCATTGACTGGGAAAGTGCGAAACAGTATTCGGTTGCCGTAATGGAATTCTTCGGAGCACGATCCATATGGACAGAAGTGAAAAATATTATCGATCCGGAGATGTGTGAAGGATTTCAAGAAAATGCAACACGAGAAACCGTGAACGATGAACGTGATCCAAATGAACCATCGACGAGCCAACTCGATGCTTGTCCAAACGAGATTGAGTTTGACAAATGATCAAATTAAAATTACATTTCCACACATTTCCACACATTTTCACACACAGAAAAATTGTTTCAATGATGAACAACACAATCGAACAGAATAACAAGTATTCTTTTTCCAAAATAAATAACCGGTCGTTAACGGTTATCAATGAATTCCAAAAACGTCCAAAACGGTCCAAAAATGTCGAAATAAAAATTATAATTAACAATATAATTATTATAATATCTTGAATATGTTTCATCGTGTTTCATTTCAAATCGTTTCAAATGGTTTTGAAAAATATATACATTTATCTACATAGCACGACATAGCATCGCCGAGCATCGCATAGCATTTATATCGATTTATATGGTCTTTTTAATCGTTTTAAACTTCTTTCCGCTTTTATCGGCTGAAACCGGCTGAAACTAGTTGCGATCAGCTGATTGCGGCAGATTTACTCGGATTTACTTTCGTTTACTTTATCGGACGTCATCGGATTTCATTTCGTTTGACAGAATGACACGGATTGACATAACCTAAATCGACCTCAATAATTTTTTTACCGCGCTTTACTCGGCTTTACCGGGCTTTACCCGCTTTACCCGCGCTAAACTGTTCAGTTCGGTAGATTTCGTTTTATTTAGCTGGTGCAATCAGTGCAATCGGATGCAGTAACATTAAATCACTTTTGTTAGATGTTCTGGCGTGTTCTGGTCTAAATAAAGCGAAATAAAGTGTTTCAAATCGGTTTTAAATAGAAGACAATAGAAAAAATAAATAAATTTTGTGCGAATTTGTCGGAATTTGTGTTTCATACGGTTTCATATTCGCTCATATTCATATGAGTATTTTGTAGCAATTGGCCGCAATTGGGTATCAACGGGTATCAACCCGTATCAAGCAGGATCAAGCCAGATCAAGCAATAACGAGCCGCAACGAGCAATAACGATTGATATAGTTTTCCGAAGTTTTCAATGTCAAGAGGTTTATACGTGTTTATATGGCACAAATCGGCACAAATACGGTTCAATTTAATTGCTGTGTTCGGCTGTGTTCCAGTTTTGTTACTACCGGTTACATTGACACATCATTCCGAAGTGTTGCAGTTCATCTCAGGTAATTGCGGGTAATAGGCTCATTTTTATATTCGTGATGTGCGACGATCGGCGGTGGTGTGCCGACGGCCGACGAGTGCTGATAGAAATTAGTCAAACGAAATTTTATTATAAGTCATATTAATGTCTGCACAAAAAAATAAAATATCCCATTTTTTCTCAGACAGTCAGGGACGGTCAGGGAAATCAAATAGTAGTCCAGTAGACCCGAGTCGACCGGCCGCGACTGGCTTTATCTGGTCCAATTGGGACCAATTCGGATTCGTTCGGATTTATCTAAAATATTATTTGTTACGATTTGTTATGACGAAGCCCGACGAAGCAGGTATAAAATTGAATAGGAAACGGTTTTTCAATTGAAAATCGTTGAAAATATTCACCGATATTCACGTATATTCATATCTGAAGCCATTCTTTTTCAATTTAGAACCAACACCAATCGACACCAATTGCTAACACCGATACAAGACCAAAACAAACGAAAACAAATGTATGAATGTTCGTGCGTGTTCGTGAGTGCTCTTTGCAGTTCTTTGTAAAACATCAATTCAAAGCGAAACAACTGCCCTTAACTTTAGAAGACAATACCCTTAGCCGTCCTCAACAGTGAAAAACAGTTTAAGCCGGTTTAAGCACGCAATCGGAAATTGCGGGAAATTGAGGCCAATTGAGGCTGTTTCCGGCTGTTTCCGACTGTTCCTACCGGTTCCTACCACCGCCTACCGCCGCCTACCACACTTTCCACCGCTTTCCACCGCTTTCCACCTGTGCCATCGTGTGCCATTGCCATTCTATCGCGTTCTATCCAGTTCTATCGGCACTGTGACAAAACATTACGAACGATTACGAAACATTATGTCTGAACAAATTGCATCAGAACATAGTTATTGCAAGTGAGTGTTTATTTTTAATTGGCAAAAATATTTTAAAACGTTTAAAAGCACATTTATTTATCTCGATTTATTTTTCTCGTCTTTTCTTTCTTTCCAGGATAGCGGACTCTCTACCTGTTGAGAATAAGAAGTTGACCCTGGAGGTTAAGCGAAAAATCGATAATCATGAAGCAGAAAAAAGAAGCATTCTTGATGAAAACAAAAAACTGAAACGAAGGATTCAAGCCGGAGTAAGGAGACAGAATAATCAACGAGCAACCATACTCGGTTTACGAAAACAAGTTTATGTTTTCAAGAAAAAATTTCAACGAGCGCAGCTCATCGAACGAAGCTTAAGACTGAATTGTGTGGAAAATTCAGGGTTGGACGTAAGATGAGATCGGATGAGATAACGATTCTTTTATAAATAACAAAATATATTTAAATCAAAGGGTAATCTTTATTTTCGTAGGATGACATAAAAGATGTAGTCGCTCATCTGATCAAGCCAAAATTGCCCTACAATTCAAATGTACGACGATTCGCACTTGTTTTAAGAATCAAAAGCAGAAGCGCTTATACGTGGGTCAGGCACAAATTTTCCAAACGTTTGCCAGATCCAGAAACTTTGAGAAGATGGAATGCCAATAGTAAAGCAAATTTAATGCAATCTGGCTTTAACGCCCAAACGATAGCGACACTAACAAAATTAGCTGAAGAAAATGGAGCAAACTCAAAAAAATGTTATGTGAGTTTATGTTTTGACGAAATCTCTATTCGCCAGCATATCCAATGGATACATAGTAAAAAGAAATATAGCGGTATAGTTAATTATGCTAGACGGGATAACGATGAAGTACCTGTAGCGAATTTCGCTATTTTTTTTCTTGTCACCTTAGTAGAAACGGGACGATCCCTTATTTTGGGATATCAATTGATAAAATCTCTAAATACCGCCGAAAAATCAGAGCTGATTAATAGGGCCATTGAACAAATAAATAATACCGGGTGTTATTTGTTAAGCTTATCATTTGATGGATTAGCAACAAATTTTTCTGCCTGTACGATGTTAGGCGCTTCGTTTGATTTACAAAATTTCCGTCCATTCATTCTCAATCCAGCCAATTCTAAGAGAATATCAATTGTCCTTGATCCTCCGCATTGCATTAAATTGGTCAGAAATTGTCTAGCTGCATATAAAACTTTGCGGGATGACAAAAACAATGTAATATGCTGGTCATTTCTTGAGAGACTTGTATCGCAAACGAGCGAGTTGGTTTCACATAAAATGACGAAAAAACATATAGACTTTCATTCCAATAAAATGAACGTGAAAATTGCCGCTCAAACTTTGTCATTCTCTGTTGCAAAGTCAATGGAACTGTTACTCCGAAACGGAGTTGAGACATTTGCCAACGCGACTGGTACAATCATTTTTGTTAAAAATTTCAACAAAGGCTTTGATATATTTAATTCAAAACACGCTAATTCCAATAACTTGTTCAAAAGGGGTTTAAATCGAGGTAATGCTGAAAAAATATTTGAATTTTTAGACTATTTTTCTGAATATATCAAATCACTCAAATATGAACGAAACATTATTTTGAAATCTGATCGTAATACCGGTTTTTTGGGCTTTTTAATAAACACAGTAACACTGCGGTATCTTTATGATGACTTTGTGCTTACAAATGAAGTCGAAAATATTTTATTTTTTTTCTTTGGACAAGATCTATTGGAGAGTTTATTTGGGCGAGTACGATCAATGCTTGGGTCAAATACAAATCCAACTGCTGAACAGTTATTAGGTGTGACTAGACAGTTGATAAATTTCAACGAGATAAAAGCATCACCAGATGCCAATTGTCAAGATGAATTGAATATCTTAACAGTAAGTTCTAGTGCCACCAAAAAGCCTTCTGATCGATCTGAAATAAATCCAAACACAGCTTGCCTTGAAGATGAGGATGAGATCGAATCATTGTCTAATATCAAGCTAAATTTCAAAGATTTATACACGATAAAACTACGGGCTGGAACTATTGAAAAAAAAAAAAAATATGCAATACCCCGGTGTACCCACGAGCAATGTGTCAATATTTTCAGAACAAATTCTGATAAAATCGGCGGTATTTTTTATGAGAATGGTATCGCACATAGACCAACACAAAGTACCTTTAAAATATGTGAAATTATTTACAAATGGTTTACTATTTACAGTGATATTTTTAATTTTGAATATAACTTAGTTTATAAAAAAATTCTGAATTCCATTCCATATGAGGAATTATATACATATGTAGACTTTACTCACAATTTGGAACACAAGTCCCAATTTATTTTATTGATCATTGATGAATATATAAGAATTCACGCTACGCATAATGCGCGAGTAACTACATTACAAATTCATTCAAAAATAGTTGGCAAAACCGCACAAAAGCTGAAACATGTCATGGGGCAATGACACGCAATAGCGTGAACTGAAATACAAAAATATGTATATGTAGCCGTATGTAGCCGTATGTAGCGGTATGTAGCAATATTCGGAAATATTTGTTGAAAATGTATTGTGATTCGGAAATGATGAAATTTCTATTTCTATTCAGAACCATTGAGAAGTTTGTTAAACTTATTCCATTTGCGTTAATTTGTAATAAATATTTAAGGCGATTTAAGTAGAATTTTATATTTTATTATCGTTTATTATTTTATTACGCAGCGAACTAAGCCAAAAATGTAATACTGAATATCGCTAAATACGGCTAAATATTGACAAATGGTTATCATACACGATTATACATCCTTATAAAATGTATAGAAACGTATAGAAATCGATAGAAATAATGATATATACCGTGATACTTGTTCTAATTTACTAATTTATTGAAATTTATCAACACCGATCAACATTGACTGTGATAAAGCCATCCTTTGAGTTGGTGATTAATTATTGACCTATCGTTTTTTTTGGGTGAAACAGAAACCTCCCCAAAAATTACTAAAACCTCCCCAAA